CCAAAAAAAATGAATCATTTATTAGCTATACTATCATTCTTGATGGTTCTCTGATTGTTCATATTCTCTGGCCTGCAGTTCTCTGTTCTTCTGATAATTTCGAACTCTATAATCATATGTTGCTTTATGTCTGTTCACACAATTTCTCCATCTTTGAATAGGAATATTTGCTTAGCTTCCTTAAAAGTCAAGGTCATGAACTTACTTGAATTAACAAGCATGATTAGACATTTCGCGAAAAAAGAATAAAAAGCACCAAGCAAAATGGTGAGATACGCTTGGTTATCATATGCAATACATGGAAAGTGAGGATGATATGGTTGTTCTCATCCCTTGATTTGACATTACAAATAGAAACAGAATTTCTGATAGGAGCTCCGTTTAACTTTTAACAATACCTTATGAATGTCCCAATTCTAATTAGGGTCTGTCATCAGTCTTTGATGAGCAGGTTCAATGTCCAAGGTTTCCCCACAATTTTGGTATTTGGTGCTGACAAGGACAGCCCTGTCCCATACGAAGGTGCAAGAACAGCATCAGCCATTGAGTCCTTTGGATTAGAGCAGCTGGAAACAAATGTTGCACCTCCTGAAGTGATTGAGTTGACTAGCCCAGTAAGCTTACTTTAATAATCCGTTGAACTCTTCTTCTGTCTTGCTTTTTATAACCATTAAAATATGACTTAATTTGATCTCTTTCCTACTGAAGGATGTCATGGAAGAGAAATGTAATTCTGCTGCAATCTGCTTTGTTTCGTTCCTGCCGGATATATTAGATTCCAAGGCTGAAGGAAGGAACAAATACCTAGAAATGTTGTTATCTGTTGCGGAGAAGTTCAAGAGAAATCCCTACAGGCAAGTGCACACCACACATATTGCAATCTATTCTTCAATAGAAATCTTCTCAGGTGTAATACAATCATGTGGCTTGAACTATTCTCGAATATAGACATAAACCTAATATTTGGTCAATTTTACAGTTACGTTTGGGTGGCTGCTGGTAAGCAACCAGACCTTGAAAAGCACGTCGGTGTAGGTGGTTATGGATATCCAGCTATGGTAGCTTTGAATGTTAAAAAAGGAGTATATGCACCTCTTAAGAGTGCGTTCCAGCGCCAGCCGATAATGTAAGTAACTTCGCCCACACCATTTTGTGTTCCCTACTGTATTTGGGATTGAACATGACACTATTCATTTTGCGTATACAGAGATTTTGTGAAAGAAGCTGGACTTGGTGGAAAAGGTAATCTTCCATTAGCTGCTACTCCTTCAATTGTAAAAACTGAAGCATGGGATGGAAAAGATGGGGAAATCATTGAAGAAGATGAGTTTTCCCTTGAAGAACTTATGGGCGACGACACACCAAACAAGGATGAGTTATAATTCTTCTTCACTCTCATGGAGTATTATGTTAAGCTAGTTAGAAACAGTTTTGACGTAACAAGCCGTGTATTACCGTGTTATAGTTTATTCATCATCAGATTGACATCCCCAGTTCAAAAGATTTCCTTTTTCCTTTGTTTCCTCTGGAAGTTTACATGGATTGTTACTCTTGGGGATATATCAGAAGTCACTTTTTCTGTTGTTATATTACGTAAGTCAGTGCTATAACAGGTTTAGAACATAATATTTATTGCAGACTATAGCACTACACCACCTTGTATTGCCGGGAAAAGTTTCAAGATTATCTGGACTATGTATTTGTTGTCAAAGTTAGCTATTTATCGTGTGGATGGTCATGATATTTTGATTGATCCTCGATAATTGAATGCATTCCCTTTCTTAAAAGTTTTTAAGAGATTCACAAATGATAGTATATGAATCTTGAAATGAATAATTGGTAAATGACTGAGTAGATTGAAACAGGTTCCCAAGCTCGTGGATGATATTCTGGTTAACTAATAAGAGATTCACAAATTAAATGATAGGAAAATGGGCATATAAATCTTGACTTTTTGAGTGTTTTTACGTGAATAATTTAGATTATCATGGTTTAAAAGTCAATCTTTTTTTTTATTTCTCATTGATTTTGACATGGTTCTTCATTATTTACCTGCTTGTCCCTTCAGAGCGAGTATAATAACTAAGAAGTTTTTCTCTTTCTCTATTAGCTTCGTAAATAAAAATTTACTCGTAACTAGTTCCACAATCGAATAAAAGATAATCAAATTGTTTAGATTAGCAATTCGAATGACCATAAAAATGATTATGAACTCTTTTTGATCTTTCTATGAACTAACTTTTAGAAAAATAAAAGAGTATAGAACAAGAACAATATCAATAAAAGGTAATTCTATTAGCAACATAAAATCACTCATCTTCTCATATTACATATCCTTCTTCGTATGAGGGATGAAAGAACATCACGCAACAACACCAGTTTACGTAACTAGAAATCCACTCAATCTAAGAATATACACACGTAATTACATACTAATTATATATGGGTTTATGGAATAACCAAAGCATACAAATAGATAATCTCCATCTTATAATTATTCTAAAAACTTGGACAGAGCTGTTTTAACCACATGGTCGGCGATGATACGATCTGTTTTTTCCGTTGGATGAAATGCATCCCAAAATATGTATTTATTTGCATCTTTACATGTGAAAAGATTATATCGATCACACGCATAACCCATCTCAAATAGTCCTGTTGCGCAGCACGCGAGTGAAGCCACCTCAAACCCTGTCAAATAACAAGATTACCATAATACTTACTATGAGTTTATGTGACAGTGTAAACTATAAGTGTATAACTTAAACTCTAATAAGTACTATAATATTTAAGACGTTATAGCACTAGTAGAAAATAGTTGAAATCAATATAGAGGAGTTGTTTATTGGAAAAATATATCTTATAAGTTTAGAAATATTATTTTACGGGATCATATTTAAAACTATTTATGGTACTTCGGTTTTTCAAAAGGTTCAAGCTGCCTTGAACCTATCTATAATAGTCTCATTTGGTTAAGATATTTTTAATTGCTATAGTGAAGTGATGGTATAGAGAAAAAATATTATAACATAACATGAAATATTGGTTCCAAAGAAAACTTGATTGTTATAGTGAAGTGATGTTAATTATGACCAATATAGAAGAGTTTGACTAGAGTTTACGCTATCAAAAAATATATTCTTAATTAACTAAAGGAAAAAAAGGGGAAAGACGTACCATATAAGGAAGGCTTTTTAATCATTTGTAGCATAATGTTGTAAGGATTAGAGAGAACAACTTGAATCCCAGAAAGCTCTTTGTTTAGCTCAAT